AAGGTACACACCTACTTTCCCTGAAATATACTGATACTGATACTGATACTTTCTAGGCTTCTTTTTTATTTGCTTCTTCATCTTGGATTTCGCTGTTGCTCCCTTTCAGACAGCTTGCCACGATTCCAATCGGAAGTCAGAATAAATCCGGCCATCATAGAGATTGCCCCAGGACCCAGTTGTATTTTGTTTAAACCGAGCAGTTTCACGGAGAAAGTTTATATGCCATCATTAGGTTAGTGAAATTACCAGCCGTTCTAAAAAAGAATCACGATCTATCTACCAGGTGCACTTTTACATATCAGAGAAAGCCCCCGGTTGTTAAGATCAGTTGGCATTACAGGAATGTCTCCCTTATTTTAACTACTGAATCCTGGAATAAGACAAACTTAAAACTATTAAGTATAAAGATTTGAGGGTTAGTCAGACTGCATGGGGAGCGTCGGAGAAGCAATAGAAAATCTTTGCATAGAAGCAGCCGCAACATCTGCGAAACACGTGTCACTTTTTTGGGTATATTAGTACCATGACAAGATAGGTAGATGTAATCGTGTAGCCCTCCTCTGAAGTTAGTAACAGTCACCTCAACTGATCGCTCATTATGCGGACAGACCACATAAGCCTTGATCCGCCGACTTCACTGCAAAAAAGTTCATTTACATCAAGCGCATTCGTCAAATTCGTACCGTAAATGAAGCCCAATCTATTTCTGCCCACATCGTGCTCATATACATGATCGTTGGAAGAACCAGAATTATTTGAACGGTTTCCATCATAGAGGCATTCTCACGCTCGATTTCTGCTGTGTTTTCTTATTCTGGTCGTTTTCATCTTTCGATTTATTCCTCCAGGGAAATATCGAACCACCTTCTACTGACTCACCAGAACAATGCAAAACTCGACAATGTTTCATTATATTTACCGTGTAATTGACTTAAGAAAATCAAGACTCAAGCATAGTGGGTAGAGTCGATGCAAGGAAGAGTGATAGGTTTTGGAATCTTCTGATGATGATGATGATGATGATGGTGGTGGTGGTGGTGGTGGCGGTGATGATGATGATGATGATGATGATGATGATGATGATGATGATGATGATGATGATGATGATGATGATGATGATGATGATGATGATGATGATGATGATGATGATGATGATGATGACGATGATGGTGATGATGAAGCTGATGATGATGATGATGACGAAGATGATGGTGGTGGTGGTGATGCTGTTGCTGCTGCTGCTGAGGATGATGATGATGATGGTGGTGGTGGTGGTGGTGATGATGATGATGATGACGACGACGACGACGACGACGACGGTGATGATGATGCTGCTGCTGATGATGATGAAGAAGAAGAAGAAGAAGAAGAAGAAGAAGAAGAAGAAGAAGAAGAAGAAGAAGAAGAAGAAGAAGAAGAAGAAGAAGGTGATGGGTGTTGATGTGGAGGTGTAGATTTGAACACACAATTCAAAGTAGGTCATGCAACATAACAATGTCATAAAATTTCGCAAAATCTGTAAATGAGTGAACATGGCAGTGTTATCTAAGTCTCAATCTCAAAGAGGGCTTTCAGGTAGAGGGTGTTGTCCACAACGAACTCCCGGGCATTCATTTGTTCCAGCTCAATAAATCGCGGAGACCCAAAGCACTGGTTACGTTCGCTTGTTGGTCGCTTCAAATAGGCGTTGTTGCTTGGTATGGGGTTCGGCCTTATTAGGACGCTGTGATCCTTCCTCATAGTCGGGTCTATAGACTGATCCAGCAACTTTACAGTTATCTGTAAGATAGTATGTAATTATATAAACTGAATCTAAACATTCTACTTGTATTTCGGAAGTAGGCCATTTGATTTAAATATTACCGGGAGTGAAAATGGCCAGCTCAGGAGGGCGTCGTATTCTCCACGGCAGAGGCAGACAAAGACAGACAAGTACTTTCCGCGGTAGCGCTGTTCTCCGTAAGGACAAATCGACAGACACACACGGTAGCCATGACGATGACTGGATGAGTATTGAAAACAAAATGATTCCAGTCAATACAGTTTGTAAGTCATTTGTTCGAGGGTTTCTTATGAAACGGAATTAATTCCTAACTGAAAAAATGCTTTTCTGGCACCCGAGACGGAAAAGAACCTCTTTTTTATTGACTTCCGGCTTTTTCTTTCTGGACTGTTGAATTTATAGCTTCTATTCCTTCGGACGTGAGAACATTTGCGGCAAGAAAAGCCTGAGGTTACAATTTCTAACGAATGTGGCTAAAGAACTTCGATACTTAACAGTACAGTAGATGTGCTAACTCATGAAATGGCAGCCAGAATTTCGAAATGCGTTCTCGTTTCGAAAAGATAAATTAAGTAGTGTTGTAAAACTAATTACGATGCCGCATAAATCTATAATGATCCAATTACCTCAGGGTGTCGGCTTTCGAAAGAACTTATTTTTGGCTGCATGCAGTATCTATGCTATGCAAAAAATGACTACTTAATTAGCATACAATTTTCTTATTGATTTTCGATGCCCTTGAAAATTCAATTATATTTCATGGAAAACAGGCATAAAAATATTTATTCTTTTACTTATTCGGTAGACAGTCACGTCTTCTTCCAATTTCATACTCAAAAAACAGTACAATTCGGTTTTAAAAAGGTTTCTGATTGTGAGATTTTTTAATACCGCAAAATGGCAATTCATGAAACGTCATGTATCTGCATTTACCAATGTGGCCTGTAAAGTTAACAATATTGCATGCATTTCTCTACGGTATTAAGAGGAGATCATATAAGGTTCATAAAATTAAGCAGTTGATTTGAGCAATATTGTTAACTTTACAAGCCACGTTGGTAAATGCAGATACATGACGTTTCATGAACTGCCATTTTGCGGTATTAAAAAATCTCACAATTAGAAACCTTTTTAAAACCGAATTGTACTGTCTTTTGAGTATGAAATTGGAAGAAGACGTGACTTTCTACCGAATAAGTAAAAGAATAAACGTTTTTATGCATGTTTTCTATGAAATATAATTGAATTTTCAAGAGCATCGAAAATCAATGCGAAAATTCTGTACTATTTATGATGTCACTTTTTGCGGAGTATAGATACTGCATGCAGCCAAAAATAAGTTCTTTCGAAAGCCGACACCCTGAGGTAACTGGATCATTATAGATTTATGCGGCATCATGATTATTTTCACAACACTACTTAATTTATCTTTTCGAAACGAGAACGCATTACGAAATTTTGGTTGCCATTTCATGAGTTAGCACATCTACTGCACATCGAATATCCTTGTGATTGTTAGGCCTTTTTAGATTAATTCGTATGTTTCATGAGAGTTGGAAAAGATGGTATGTGTTGGTACGTTCTCACAATATATGACAGTTAGACTGCTGCCCTTCTCAAAATACATGTTTCAACACTCTCCGTTACTTACGGAAGGAGGAAAAAAAAGGTAGTTTCAGCGCAACTTTCAATCTGTTCATACGCACCCTGCATTCATGCTTATATCGCCAAGATGAGAGGATCAAGGTAATAAATTAAGCGGCTCACTCTATGCTGACCATCGGTAAAGGAAGAATACCAGTCCTATACTGTGATGACGAAGCCTACAGACATTTTTAGATTTGGTTTTTTATACTGTGAACGCCAGCGGTGGTCGCAAAGACAGTTCACTTTAACGCTTCAGGCCAACGCATATCGCAGCACCTACCGGATACAAGCAGTCGTACACCAGCGTACTCTGTAACCCTCATCTATGTCATAAGACCTCCCATTGGCAAGGGACCATTTTAAATAGATGTTCAACGCAATCAATCCAGTGGACGTACTGGCAACGGGATGTTCCTCACCCATCAACCAATGAAATCACTGGTCTGAAACGATGCACGATTGTGTCCAATCCATGGTCACAAACCGATCGATCGATATGCATGAGTAAACGCCTCAGGGACAGCTTTTTCTGCAAATTGAAAAGACAAGTTGGCGAACGCACGTTTCCGGTAATTCTTCCTCAGGCCAATACAATTACATGAAACGAATGAAAATGTACAAAATCAACAGTGTCTATAGATGCCTAAAGGGCTATTAAGTCACTAATACTCATCATCCCCACGCCGCCCGCATGAGACGGTCGGCGGGTGTTAGTCGTCAGGGCTAGGGGAGGGAGGTAAGAGAGTTTGAAAAAGAAGAAGAATCGAGCACCGGAACAATTCGTTTATTTTCCTGAGCTTTCAGACTCGTACAGGAGTCCATCGTCAGAGGTAGTGGCAGAAACAGGACAAACGGCAGTTATAAGGCACGTAGACCCAATCATCGACCGACGTCGCACGACTGGAGGTGACTAAGAAGGGCTCTGTACGCCGGCGCCAGATCGATAAATCGATTGACCGAGTTCTCATCCGAGGCCCTGTCCTGTTTCTGCCACTACCTCTGACGATGGACTCCTGTTCGAGTCTGAAAGCTCAGGATAATAAACGAATTGTTCCGGTGCTCGATTCTTCTTCTTCTTCAAATATGTATACACCCGGAACTCGAAATTTCGCCTTCATTCGTGAGGTAAGAGAGTCTTTGAGTAATGATCTTGGGTTGAGTACACGGAGTACCCATCATCGTGATTAGGGATTTGAGGCGGCATGGCTTCATAACTTGGGGTTGGCGTTGGCCACGGCAGCGAAAGCGCTTGTGTCAGAGTTTTCTGACAGCATAACACCGGATTCACTAACCGTATAGCTACTGCCTCTGCCGTTGCTAGTATCTGTTAGCGTAGGCCCTTAGAGAAGCATGCTGGTGTCCGGTAGACAACCTGAAATGCTTTCTTGGCATCGACTCGGTGGTTCGTATCGATTAAATGCGCGAGAATAGAACTCGAAATCGACCGGATCTCACCTCTGTCTAGCCAGGCGGGCATATGTTCACGTACCCTCTTTACCAGGCGTCTCGTTGTGCGGCCGATGTATCCTGCTCCAGAGGAGCAAGTGAATGAATAAATGCACATTGATAGCCCTTGATGCATCTATAAACACTGATGAGTTTGTACATTTTCATTCGTTCATGTAATTGTATTGGCCTGAGGAAGAATTACCGAAAACGTGCGTTCGCCAACTTGACATTTCAATTTTTCTGCAAAGTTGCATGGAGGCTTCTCCATTTTGATTTGAGGCAGCCTACGCACACTCAATATTTCCTTTTTTCTGGAATCCCTTAACCAGTGCACTTGAAAAAATATTGGCATAATAATGGCAAGGCAACTTCAAAAATCCTACGTCACATGTTCAGTGACGCCTCGAAAAAGTACATCCCTCTACCGTCCGACGCAGTGTTTGTTTGGCACATAGTTTGGAATGGTTATGCTGATCGTTGCATTTATCATTTGTAATAAATCTTTGTGAAAAGTTTTAATTGTACCTGCTAAGAAACGTGTGAAAATTCAAAACAGGCAAGTAGTTTGCGATTGCGAGCGGTTGAGTGGCACCTATGGTCGTTATAAAAGTTTTGTCATTTAGTCAATGCCTTCACAACAGTCTCCTTTAAGGACGCATCCAGACACCAGAAGAGGAAGAATAAGTTTGGACTAACTGATAGCCGAACGAGAGGCGCATGCGTCCGCGCCGCCGGAAAACGTGTCCGAATGCCCTGCATGCACACATGACTGGCCGAACAGTAGACAGAGACCCTTGGTTTGAGGGACTGGTCAAACGCCATACGATCACCATTTGACAGTTCGGCCACCGTTTCCGACGATGCCCACCGTTTGCACCAAGGCAGGGCGGAAGCGGGGACGATGACTAGCCCGTGAGTCAGTTTAACGTGATGGCAGACTTTCGCAGCATCTACCGCGCTCTCTCCTCCCTACCTTGGCTCGGTGCTAAGACAGAGTCAAGAATACCGGGAGCAGGGAAGAGCGCACGGCGAATGCTCGCATCTACAGTAGGTGGGCTGACTCATGAAATGTCAACTGAAATTCCGAAATGCGTTTTTGGTGCGAAAAAAATTAAGTAGGGTTGTAAAAGCAGTGAGCATGCAAAATAATTCTTTAGTTTTTCAGTTATGTCAGGATGCCGGCTTTCGAATGAACTTCCTTCCGGCTGCATGCAAAAACTACACTGCAAAAAACGACTACTTATTTAGCATGATTTTTTCTCATTTATTATCGATACCCTTAAAAAATCAATTGTATTTAATGAAAAACATGTATAAAAGTATTCAGTCTTTCGCTCATTTAGCAGATACTTACGTCTGCTTCTAATTTTATATTCGAAGGAAGGGTATAATTCGGTTTTCAAAAACTTTTCCAATTCCCGAATATTTTTGAACCCGCTATGCCGTAACACTTGCATTCAGGGTTTCAAAACTACAAGTTATATTTTACGCGTATGAAAAACCGCACATCTCTCTACTGCAATAAAGGGAAGCCATATGGGTTTCATAAAATTAAGGAGTGATTCGAGCCATATTGTTAACTTTTCGAGCCAAAATGGCAAGTGCTGAGATCTGACGATTTGTGAAGGCCATTTCATGGTATTTAAAATTCCATTATTGAAAACTTTTTGAAACTGAATTATGTCCCTTCTTTGGGTATAAATTGGAGGAATACGTAATTTTTTACCGAATGAGCAAAAAATTGAATATTTTATGCCTTTTCCGTGAAATATAATTGGACGGTTAGGGGCATCGAAAATCAATGAGAAATATGCATGCTATGTAAGTAGCCGTTTTGTACAGAGTGTAGTTTTTTCATGCAGCTGCAAGGAAGTCCATTCGAAAGTCGGCATCCTGTGGCAACTGAAATATTACAGAATTATGTTGCAGACTAACTAGTCTTACAACCCTACTTAATTATCTTTTTCGAAACGAAAGCACACTTCGGAATTTCGGTTGACATTTTATGAGTTAGCTCACCTACTGTACCAACATATCCGATGGGCCATGACGTACACTGGCCAGGACTCTATAACACAACAAAAAATAAGGGAATAGGCGGCTCGGATCCCAGCTGGCGTGGCATGAATTTGTAACTGAGCCTAATGTTGTCATTAGTGTGCATGCCGATAACGCCTGACGAACTCCGGCCTTCCCCTCGTATTGGTGCTAGTCAAGCGCATTTACCATATGACCCCTTTCAGGTTCACACGGGATCATAATACAAAGCCTCGAAATGTCAGGCAAAAGACTGCCCATCAGCATACGTGGAAGTGCATGTCAAAAGGGAGCGGACGGCTGAAGTGGAATTACTACACGATCAACTGACTTTATCCAGTTAGCTTACCAGATACCGATCATTCACTATGTAAATCATGAATGAAAGAATACTTTTTCAGTAGAACTTCAGGAAGTGTTGTCCTCGAAAACCGGTTGTCTGAAAGAAATGAGGATTTCCGCCGGGGGAAGGCTGAGCATTTTGTGCGTTTTTTGGCTGCGAATTTTCTGCTCGCGGTTTTACAATCACTTAATATGTACACTCGCTTAAAGCGTCCCAATGCATTTCATTGACGTTATCATCCAAAAAAAACACCAAATGTCAGGATACGGAGGCAGGTTAAAGGAATATGTCAGGAGTAAATTTGGGACACTTGTCAAATAGATCCCTGGTACAGCCTCACAATTATGATTTTCCAAATCTGATTATTTCCTTATAACATGTGAGAACAGTTGCAAGTACGTAAGGTTATATAAAACGAAACTAAGCAACAAAATGTGTGTCAACTGTTTCTCGTAGAACAAAATAATTGAAGATATTGGAAAATATTGTCAGAAAGCGTAAAATATGTGAATTGGTTTTCAAGAGTAGCCATAACTTATTTTACTTTTCTAGTGGACGAAATGAAAGCATTTATCTTTTGTGCAAAAATCCAGACAAAACCTCACACATAGCAGCAATCAGCCAACAACGCAGCAGTATTGTGGACAAACGCATTATGGACGCAAATACTCACTTTTGGCTGAACCAAATGTTTCTTAAACTGGATGGCAGACCACGGGCTCTAGCCTTAGCTTCTCTTGTGGAGGTCCTGTTCATGGGCTCGGTCACCGCAGTCTGGGGTTGGGCTAACGCCGTTTAAGGAGGTCATTCTAGCCTCCCTGATCTCTGTTATTCGTAAGTATTAACGATTTTTTGTTTCTAACTGCCACAGTCCAACGCAAGTAACTTCCTCTCAGTTAGGTCATGAACTCATATTGACCATCTTAATGCCGCATTACAAGCTACTCATTTTCCATCAGTAGCCTTTATTAACTGGTTATGAACAGTTGGCGTTAATCAATCATTTGGCAATCAGGTAAAGTGAAACTGAACTGAAGTTATCAGGGGTATGACACTTCCAACCAACTAGTCCGCACTGACCTATAGCGTTGGTTTACACTGACTGTTGCCGGACCTCCGTCCGTGAAAACAAGAATTCTCACGGAATCAATTAGTTAAATAGTCCAGCAGAATAATCGAGTCGGCGATTACGGTAAATACCTGTAGAAGGGTTGACTAAAGAGGGCAGTTCGTTTTCCCTGCTGGGCTTCTTCGAACTTCTGGCGGTAGCCCTCGATGCGCCAGATGAAGGAGGGCTCAAAGTAGGCTTCACTCCTCTGTAGTTTCGTCTGCAATTTCTTGATGGTTGCCTGACTTTCGTGGACGGCCTGAACCTGCAGGCGGATGAACATAATTCAATGGTCTGGAGAAAGATAGAGTCTGATTGGTTGGTCTTCAGTTAGTAGCAGTGAATGTAGTCTATTGTCAGACGGACCAGGGGCCTAGTTACACTCTAGTTAATTACGGAGTTTTGACAATAGTAAAAGTAGAATGGAACTACTGACAAAGACAAGGGAGACTGAAATGGCCCTATCTGGCTTATTAACTGCCGTCAGTCAGTCATTCCCAACGCCGGGGTTTGGAACACCTGGGGCACGACCCCGGAACCTGTTGCTTAGAAGTCCAACGCCACTAACCACTGAGCCACGGGCTTGTTGTCCTGTCGGTCTCGATCGGGAATATGCAATGGTGGATGGACGCTCACCGATCGTTCTTAGGGGACTCACTCCTCCCGTTTTGTCTTAAGGGCAATTTCTATCGAGCCCATAAGGCACAAAGAGACGAGAGAGTCCATTAAAAACTATTGGTGAGTGCCCCTCCACCAACAGTAAAAGTCCCCGCCGACTAATTCTCAACATGCGAAAATTCTTGCTACAGTTACATCTACCGCGGAAGTAGACCGTATGGTCCGTAACGGTAGGAGAAAAATCCACATCTGCTACGGAAACATCCCACTTAGCCTACGTGCCCGCTGTCGTTTGATCTCATCGCCTTGTCCGTTGTCAAGTTCATAATTTCTTTGATGCTTGAGAGCAGTACAGGCGATCATCAAGTGTTCGTACGCATAGTTTTAGGTCAGCAAGTGCCATTGTTCGCAAAATCCCTGTCACAGCTTGCGGACATTTGTGCCACAATGACACACGGTGCCATTTCCGGTCTGCCGACCTGGAAGATAAACCAGCCCATGTGCGTGTATCTCCATACAGGTCACTCTTCATGTGGCGGATCGGCCGTTGCCGGCGACAATGCTTCCTGTGCGCCCCAGGAAGTAGTCGTAGCACCAGTGAATTCAGCGTGAATTAGCCACGTGGGGAGCACACAGTCGAACACTGTTCCCTAGGCCAGGATCGATGGACCAGATGGTCGAACAATCATCACTTCAATATCCAGCACACGTGATGAAATGGCAACGATTAAAGACTCGAATGCCGGCCATAAAATAGTCATCACACCAAGTGCAACGATCCCTGATGAAGGGGGGTGGGAACCGTAACTATTCATGGGTATGCGTTATCATCCGACTGCATCCCATAAATACACTAGCCATTTGAAAATAAACTACTCGTATCTGCTAATGTCTCTGATGATGAGTTCGAGAAGGAATCCAAAGCGTCAGGCGAATAAAGCTCTTGATCATTCTTCGTGACTGTTTCCAGGGCCTAACCTCTTTGCCTCTTTTAGTAAAGGTCGTCTGAAAAGCTAAATGCTTGGGCTATTCGCCTCCCCATTTGTTCATATGTCGCCCTCTAAAAAAGAAAACTACCTCCCTTCTAACTGGAAATTACAGGGATTCTGTACTTTGTAATATTTCCTTCCCTTTCCTCCTTTCTGCACAGATAATTGAATATGATTCGATACCGTCGTTTTGGGAATTTCCTTGGGTCAGTCACTTACGTTTGCTGCAGGGGACACCGCAACTTACATCTTCAATAGGCCTCAACCAACGCGAAGAATACTGATTACGTGATCGCTCTGATACGCTATCCTTTGTCTGGTAAAGCGCACCAAATTATTAAATATTGCGGTGTTTTTTTTTGCAAGCACGCATGACTTAAATAAACGCTTTCAGAAAAGACGAGAAAACAAAAAACACGCGAACCCCATCCCACTCCTACATGTCGCTTTGCATTCAGTAGACACCCTTTACCATGGCGACGGAACAATTGTTCAGTTTACCATGAGACCACGCAGAAAACAGTTGGTCTTTGGAAAAAGGCTACATTTCAGTGCAAATGTCATCTTGACAACAGCATTGGAACCAGTAAAACTGAAACACTCAGCCTACCTTGTTTTTCTAAAGCCCATAATTCGGACATTTAGCCAGCAAGAGAGTTTCCTAATCTTTAATTAGAAAGCAGTTTTATCCAACTATTGCATGAACGTTTGTTAGTCACACTGTCAATCAGGAATGCACACTTAAACGAAATTATACCAAAGGAACAGTGGAATGGCGCGTACGTGGTTCCATAGTTAACATTCTATAGCAAGGAGGCAAAGCCAACATAGACACAAACTACCCTAACTGTCAGATCGAGCTGAGTAATAACAGTTTCGTATTATCCAGTGTAAAAAATGCAGAATCGCGCACGTTTAGAAGCATCTAAGTCTGAATCGGACTTCCTGACCGCCGTTGACGCAGACTAGGTCCAGAACCAAAGGTTCAACTGACCCCGGCTCAAATTCTTTATTTTTGGCTCCATGGTGAGTTAGGGCCCTCTGATGACTTCGAGTAGGCCAGAAATGCCAATTCTTGTCTTCTGATGTTTTTTTCGTTGTTAATTTCCTGCCATTAATCTATTCTCGCAGTGTAACTGTCTTTGGCTGCTCCAGGCCAACTGCCTGGGTAAAAGGAAACCCACGTATTCGGACCTGCAATCATGACAGGTCGAAGAACACCGTTTCCATGTGAGGTCGGGAACAAAAGGGACGCAGACCTGTTCGCGCGTCAGAGGCACGTGTACATGCACATGTCTCCCAATTGACTGTTTCTCTATACCATCATCACGAACCGTCTGTTAAGTTTTGGGCGACTTCTCGAGGGCTGTTTTTAGCAAAACTAGCATAAGACAACGTCCGCAGCGTTCAGAATGTCTGTGAGTGCTAGTCAGACCATGGACGACAAACATTACGGATCAAAGGATGGATATTTTAACTTAAGATCTGAAAAATTGGAAAAACCAATCACTCAAGATTTCTGGAGATCCCTATATTACTGGTCGTCTTTCGGTCAACGCTTCACAACAGACCACTGCAGAACGTCATACTAGGAACTTAGGTTGATTCTCGGCAGACTGTTTTGATTAATTCTGGTAGGCTCATACAATTGAACCGGCGGTGTACCGTCGCCCGAGGACAACATGTGCCGAAACTTGCATGATTTCGGTCAAAATGTCTCCGTTTTTTCTAGTTGCAAAAAATCATCCTAAAGAGGTCCGAGGGCTCATCTAGGGGAATTATGATTTCGACCTCATCTTTACCTGGCAGTATGGTGACTTGCTTTTAAACGGTCATTTCAAAATGAATCTTCGAAGCTCCAAATGCCAAGTCGTACTTACGGAAAAATATACGCTTGGAGCTCTTATCTTACGCAAATCTTGAAAAAGGGCGTTTCAACTAAAGACTGCGCCTAAAAAATGAAGTACTTTGACACTAGGTAACTTTTATAATACCTGTGTGTTTGCTTAACGAGAGATATTTTGTGCTCAGGTCAGCAACTTTAAGAGATCGGGGTTGATAATCTGAGGAAATGGAAGCGCTCATCGAATCATGGGAATTGTTTGGCTGACGGCTCTCCATTATCAAAACGTCCAGTACAAAAATCGATCAGAATTTTGAAGAGACAGCCAAATGATTTGGCCCTGGGCTGATCGACCAATTCACCCGAAATCGGAACACAAACGCGAATAACCCCAATTAAGGTGACGACGCACAATGCAGGAGGCCACCAGCACTCACAAAGGACGGTCAGCAGACCAATGCGACAAAGAAAGAAAAAAATCGATTAGCCCAAGGCCAACTAATTCGGCTGTCTATTCAAAATTCTGATCGATTTTTGCACTAGACGCTTTGATAATAAGTAGCCGCTCTATTTCTTCTAAACGTCAGCCAAACAATTCCTACGATCCGGTGAGCACTCCCTTTTCCTCAGAGATCTTTGAGTTACCTGTTACGTGGTTTTTTTTCAAGAGCATCTCATGGATCCCTCCGTGCTCTGCTGAAGAGGCCGTCCAGAGCTGTGGCTAACGGTCGCCATTGTGATGCTCGGTATCTTCGATCTATGCTCCTCAGCGAGCGATTCCAGACGCACTGACTCTACTGTCTGAACGACTGCAACATGAGTATATGCACGTATGCAAACAGCCAGAGCCGTCTGGATCCAAATTGAACATGCCACCATACCACTTGGATTTGCTCCCACAGACCCATTAAAGCTGTTTCTGTCTGTCGCAGTTGTAACTTAATACCGTTAGCACCTGCTCTGGCCGAGATAGCAACACGGGATTCTGTCCACGATAAAACTCCTCCTCCTCCTTAAGGTGCCTACGGTCCTACCCTCCTATTTGTGGTTTGGTCTGATGATTGCAGCACTACTAAGGCGCCACAGAGCTCACAAGTTATTGAACTAGATGTGGATCAAGTCGCGCGTTTTATGAGACGTGACGGTATGATAGGGACGGTCTTAGGTCACATTTTGGGAAAATAAAGGTCAGTAATAGGTCGATGGTCAGGACACGGGAATAGGTACCCGTCCTGGAGGCCAACCCGCCATGCGAAGGGCTCCTTTTCCATGTCTTACCGACAGGACAACAAACCTGCTGATAGCAGGCCATGCAACCCACCCCGACGCACTATTATCATCATTATATGCGCGTAAATGAAGCCGTAATGATAGTGGGCGTAGTGGATTGGCATACGTGTGGTACACGCAGACGCAACTGAAGTCTTGTCATCCACTGTCCCCTCAATAGCCCTGACTCCCTCTGCCATGGACACATGGTGGATACTGTAAGAGAGCGCGCAGATGTCACAAAAGTCGCCACTGAACTCTCTTCAGTACAGCAGTGGAGTCCGCAGCTTGCAAAAGGATGAACTGTCAGAGCGGCACGCTGTTCAGTTACCGCGAGGGCTAAACTGCTGGCTCGAAGACGGTCAACAAAAGACCGGTAAACTTCCGTATCGGGTGTCAGACTGCAACGGTTCCTTCTTAATGCGGTTCCTCTGTAATTATCATCTTGAGATCCGAGACGTTGCAGTCTGGTTTGTGGGTATGCGTATATGAGAAATGGAACATTCAGACAGCCAATGTACGGGGATGAGTCACCTGTCGGTCCCTCTGCTACTGCTCATCCCCTACCCCCTCCCAGTTTGGTCCAGCGTTTAACTGGGACATAACGACAGGGGAGTCGATGTTACGAAAGTGCCTCTGCTCTTCGCACGTAATGGAAGTCCTCGTCGACTTCTGCGAATACTGTGAGGTAATAGGAAGTCACATCTGTTTCGTCAGAGCCTAAAACAGAAGGGAGCGGATATCTGGAGAGCCAGTAATTCGAAGCCCCGACTCTGCCTTCTAATTGGAAAATGATGGGTATAGAATGGGCGAGAAAAGTAGATGCTTTGCAGGGCTGACTAATGTGGCTCCTTTAACAGGACATGGGAATAGGAACGCCCCCTCCCCCAATTAATAAATGTGGACCTTGGCATAATCCATAAAAAGTCAAAATATTTTCCCGTCATAACCCCAACGATAACCCTAGTATAAAAGTAAATCCTCACCCTCATCTTAGCGCTAACCCTGCCCTAAACCTAACTTCTCAGTTAACACTACAGTATATGGGCTAACTCATGAAATGTTAACCGGAATTCGGAAATGGGTTTTCGACTATAAAAGATTATTTATGTAGAGTAGCAATTTTAATTATCGTCTATTTCAATCATAAGATGTGTTAATGAAATCGAGATGGCGGCTTTTGAACGAACTTTTTTCATCCGCTTGCAACAACTACACATTGTGTAGAATGATTAATTACGTAGAATGATTTTTTTTCGTTGATTTTAGATGCCCTTGTAAGTCCAAGCACATTTCATAGAAAACATGCACAAGAATATTCATTCTTTCATCCATTTGGTAGAAAGTTATACCCTCAAATTTTATTCTCAAAGGAAGGGTATAATTTGGTTTTAGAAAACTTTTCTGATTACCGAATAATTTTGGACCCGACTTGCCCTTAGACTTGCATTCAGGGTTTCCAAACTACAAGCTATACATTTTCCGTGTATAGAAAATCATTAATTTCTATACTCTGCTAAAGGGAGACCATGTGGGGTCCATAAAGTTTAACAGTAGATTTGAGCCACATTGTAAACGTTGTAAGCAGCATTAGTAAAATGCAGTGGCGCGATGCTTTTTGAATGGGAATTTCATGGTCTTAAAAATCTTAAAATTAAAAACTTGTTTAAAACCGAATTATGCCCTTCCTTTGAGCAAAAACATAGAGAAAGACGTAATTTTCTACCGATTGAGCAGAAGAATGAATGTACTTATGCATTTTTTCCATGAAATATAATTAAACATTTAGGGGCATTGAAAATCAATGAGAAAAATGCTACATAAGTAGTCATTTTTACAGAGTGTGGTTTTTGCATGCAGCCGGAAAGAAGTTTGTCCAAAAGCCGGCATCCTGAGGTAACTGAAGTATTATAGAATTATGTTGCAGGCTGACTAGTTTTACAACCCTATTTAATTAATCTTTTCGAAACGAAAACGTATATCGAAATTTCGGTTGACATTCAATGCGTTAACCCACCTACTGTACGCCCAAATCCTCAGTGCTCTGCCAACTCCGTGGGGTATAAAGTGAAAGACGTTGCTCGCGACGGTCGGAGAGGAAGACTCTCCCATTTAATTCTGTTAAGGCGCAAGCCACCGCGCTGGGGAGAATTAGCAGTGCAGTCGACATTTTGTTTCCGCGTTCAGTGGACCGGTAACGACAAGAACAACGAGATATGCTTGTCGGCGTTAGTGTATTTTTGTTCTGATGCTCCAAAAAGCCATTGAAACTCCCCATCGTATGCACTGCGCTCACATATGCATACCTGGCAGTTCGACCATCGATTCCGAGCTCCGTAAGCATTTGCACAGCGAATAGTAATATATACAGAAAAGGACTGTCTAGAAAGACAACCCAACCTACTGGTAGTCAGCTGGTGGATTTTATGTGAATTGCTTAGGAAATCCTGCTTGGCCAGTCAACTTACTGTATCAGATTTGGGGGATTTCAGACTTTGCAGTAGGTTGGGCGGGTAACTTGACCCAAATGGGATTAAACTCGCGTCGTCCGGCGGGGCCTCGTAGTTCAGGTGGTTAGAGTGTTTACTGTACTAAAGCCTTGTCCTTACTGCGTGGGTTCGAATCCCACCAAGGCGCCGAGTTTTGGGTCAATATGAATGTAATCCTTTTGTCAAGTGACTGTGTGGCTTTTAGAGCTACAGGAAGTTAGGGCTTTAAGCAGTTTCCCAGAGAGGCTGACCATTGTACGCAACATTCTTGTTTACCTTGGAAATTTGATTCAAGGAAAATAAGGGACTGAACGTTTGAAATGAAAAGGCTTCTAAAATCTGTTAGACGGAGGCTTTGGCCACTGCACTTGATTTCACCCCCAACTGGCTCTGCTCTGAATTTGCCGCTTCCGTGCGACTCACGCTTTTCTGCTATCGGAGCGCGTAAAAGTGTGTTGTTTAGAGACGGACAGCCCGACTGTCGATTCCGACGATTTCCACCGTGTGCTTCACAACAAGGTGCAGCAGGCACGGTGACTTGCTCGTGAATTAGTCTAGAGTGATAGTGCACTTGCGCAGCATCTACCGCACTACTCCTCCCTCACCTGAACCCTGTACCAAGGCAGAGTCAAGAAGATCGGGGCGGGAGAGAGCGCAGGTGGCCGACGCGGCCAGATCCGCAGCTAGGTGTATCACCATACTACCCCGGTCCGTATAAACACTGACCAATATCTTATACCATGACACGAATAAAAAGGACGACACAGTTCCCAACTGGCGCGGCGTGAGCTGGTTACTGGGCGTGCCGACACATCCCGAATGTTGGCACTTGTCATTTCCCGATAACGCCTGCCAGATTCCGATCTAGCCTCCGTGTTGGTCCAGCGCCTCCCTGGCCCGATTTTGGTGGCAAGGTCGATAAGTCCAAACCCGCACAATAGGTGGGTTGACTCATGGAATGTCAACCAAAATTCCGAAATGCGCTTTCGTTTCAAAAAGATTCACGTATTAGGGTTGTAAAACTACTCATCTTGCAGCTTGCTTCTATAATAATTCAATCATCCCAGGATGCCGGTTTTCGTAAGAATTTCTTTTCGGCTGCATGCAAAAACCACATTCTGTAAAAGATGCCTACTTAATTAGCATGCATTTTTCGCACTGATTTTCGATTTACTTAATCATTTAATTATATTTCATGGAAATCATGCATTAAAATCTTCATTCTCTTGCTCATTCCGTAGAAAATGACGTCATCTTCTAATTTTATGCTCGAAAGAAAAGTATCATCCGGTTTTAAAAAGGTTTCTAATTGTGAGATTTTTTAATACCGTGAAATGGCTGTTCATAAAACGTCATGCCTCTGTATTTACCAATGTGACTTTAAAGTTAACAACATGGTCAAAATCCACTGGTAAGTTTTCTGAACCACATATAATCTCCTCTACATACCGTAGAGAAATATATAGTTTTCCGTACGCGAAAACTATATGGCCTGTAATTTGGGAACCCTGTGTAACGGCAGGTTGGGTTTAAAATTATTCAGAAATTGGAAAAGTTTTTAAAATTGAATTATGCCCTTCCTTCCAGTATAAAATTGGAATAAGACGTAATTTTCTACCGACGGAGCAAAAGAATGGATATTTTCATGCATGTTTTCCATGAAATATACTTGGACATTTAGGGGCATCGGAAATCAGTGAGAAAATGTATGCCGTATAAGTAGTCCTGTTTTGCAGAGTATAGTTTTTGAATGCAGCCGTAAAGAAAATCGTTCGAAAGCTGACATCCTCTGGTCAGTGAATTATTACAAACTGATCAGCTGCGGGCTGATCAGTTTTACGACCCTACCTAATTAATCTTGTTTAAACGGAAACGCATTTCGGAATTTAGGTTGACATTTTATGATCCAGCCGATTTACTGTATATGCCCACCCTGACCGCGTCTTACCATTAGAAGACGGTGAAGCAACGGTACTGTGAAGGAGCCCGACTAGCTGGCAGTATGCTGTGAATTGTGTTATAAGGGAATATGGAAAATGGGTGAGTTTGACGGATGATGCAGCATGCCGGACGGCAAGCTGACGGAATGCAAGAAAACCTAGAGGTTGATCGAGGGCAAAATCGACACTTTCGAGTAAAATTATGAATGGGTAAGGATCGGGCGAAGGACCCCAAGCATCTCTGGCATACAAATAGTACCCACTATATTTGCTTAAATGCGTTTTACTCCGACACGATTATTTCTGTTTGGTCTTTCGTTGTACAAGGTCGGATCGTCTGTTGTAGACGGTCTGGTCCATTATTTACAATAAACTCGGCTCAGAGATTTGAGAAGCGATCGTTGTATACAGTCTGGTGAATTATCAAAAATGACCTCAGCTCAGAGAGTTGAGAAGCAATCATTGTGGACGGTCTGGTGCATTTTCGGCAATGAACTCAGCTCAGAGAGTTGAGAATCGATCGTTGTAGACAGTCTGGTCGATTATCTACAATGACGTCAGCTCAGAGAGTTGAGGCGCTATCGTCGTAGACACTTAAGGTTTTTTTAATTGTCCTGCTTAATTTAGATTGCTATATGTCAATGTATTAAAACTTTTCCGTCCGAAAAACGAATTTACCAATTATCCCTACTTATTTTGTCATTCCTCTATGCATACATAGGCCCCGCCAGTAAAACCCCTATTATCACCTATTCCGTAAGACAGGCACCTTTAGCTGGTCGTGTGTTTAGGTTCTTCATCCGATCGTTACCGACCATGTATGCGGATACCGTATCCAGCTGAATACTGCATAGCATTCAATCTCAAAAAAGTTCCTGACCTTCGCACAACTGGGCTTATGCCCTGGCAGACATTTCTGCTAGCCCAAATTTCGTGCTCAGTTGATCTGCATTTTTCGTTTCCCTGCCCTTAGGTGGAAATTTAGTCCTCAGCACCTAACCTTATATTGCAAGAACATGCATTACTAGACGATCCGCAGTCCATCGACAGCTAATTCGGGTCCTCCACCCTACAGTGGACGGTGCAGTGGGTATTCTAAGCACATGGGGGATAGACGTACAGGGGTCTGTTTCATTAGAAACAACCTCAGTAGTCGTCGCAGGTAGTGGAGCTGGTCGTTTGCGACGGACGGACTATTATTGTCGTTTTCCTTTTATACAACATGGCAGCTGGCGACAGTCCACGCCCACCACCCAGCAGACATCATAAACGGCACTTCGCCCACCCACCCCCCTCCGGTGAAATGCGGTTGTGTAGGTGCATACCTGCAAGTCCAGAAGGTTGCGGAACTCGTGCAGTGCATCCCGCAGCAACAACATATGCAGCAGCATCTCCTCCGACAGGTGGTCCCTAATGGCCTTCTTTTTACCTCGAAATGTGCAACCATACTCCGTGAAGGGACAATTATTGAGCTGCAGGGGACAGTGCAGGGCCAGGTGTTCAGCCAGCTCCTCCCTGGGCAGTTCACTGCGTTTGCATCCATTGGGGCAGGCTATGGGAAAGCGTTTGCAGGTTTCTGTGTGCTGGGGCTGCTCCTGCATCTCAATCTTCTCCTGACAAAACTGGCAGACCACTGGTCGACGAGGACAGTCCGACCTGAGATGCTGCTCCAAGAAGCGCAGCTGCATGACAGATGGGGAAAATCAAACAGACACCAAACCTCATCAGATTTTGAATTAAACCCACATGTAGCAGTCGTCCAAAAAAGCAAAGATGTATATTAGAGGTGGTGGTGGTGGTGGTGGTGGTGGTGGTGGTGGTGGTGGTGGTGGTGGTGGTGGCGGCGGCGGCGGCGGCGGCGACGGCGGCGGCGGCGGTTTTAGCGACAGCAATGGTGTCAAAGGTTATACCGACCACGTTGGGGGGACAAGGATAAGAATGGACAAAGTAGGAAGAGGGAGGACATTTGATGCAGAACTTTACCCCAGCAATTTGAAGTGTGGAAGTATAAAGGCTTAAGTCAAGCCCTGATGCACATATCACCTTCATCAAACTCTATCTTTACTTATCATCTTAAATGATTTAAATACAGCAGTTGTGAATTTCAAAACCTTGCAGTCGTAAAAGAGAAAGGAGTTTTGTACCCGCGATTTTTACTGTCTTTTCCAAATCTAAGATACACCAAGGTCTCCCAACCTAATTCCGCCTGCTGCCCGCCTGCTTTTGGAAGATGTGTGAAGGACTCAAAAACAGCAATCCACAAATTTTCTACCGCTCGGGAAACCGTCAAAAGATATTGTTCAGGAAATTAGCCTGCTGTTGGCTTCCTGTTTCAGCTAGCTTAGTGTGAAACAGCGGTCTCAAACTGTACATTAGAAAATTGTAACAGCAAGTATCCCTTACTAAACTAAAATCTTATACATTCATATTGAGACAACTGTGAAAAACTCGGCGCATCGGTGGGACTCGAACCCACGCAGTAAGGGGGGGGGAGGGGGGCTTTAGTACAGCCAACGCTCTAACCATCTGAGCTACAAGGCCCCACCGGATGACGACGCGAGTTTAGTCACATTTAAGTCAAATTACCCGCCCAACCTACTGCAACGTCCGGAATCCACTAAATTTGATACAGTAAGTTGACTGCCGAAGCAGGATTTCCTAAATAATTCACCTAGAATCCACCAGATGACTAACAAACTCACATAATTCATAGCTGTTTTGACAGCTTTTTAATAATTCATACTGACCTAACTGTGAAAAACTCGGCGCTTCGGTGAGATTCGAACCTACGCAGTAAGGGGAAGGCTTTAGTACAGCCAACGCTCTAGCCACTTGAGCTACGAGGCCCAACCGGACGAAGGGAGTTTTAAAAAAAGTCCTTCATTAATTTCCAGTCTGTTTTATTCCTTAACAGGGCCTGCCTGTCGTGCCGCGCATTCCGAATGATGCCAATGAGCCATCTGCTTTTAAACGAGCATTTGCTTGCAATGACTTCAAGCGCATCAAAGTCAAAATCGACCATCTGGAGGCGTGACCTTGAACTGTCCAATCGAAGAGTTGCACACACTGCTGCCCTTGACAAGCCCACTTCTAACAGACCTATGGGATGTAGGTGGGACACAGATACTTATGGATGCCGTCCGTAGACAGAAAAGCAGAACACCGACCTCGAATTCTACACCGCAGTCGTAGACGCAAGTGACTAGGCGACACTGGCAGTCCTCCAAGTGTTCGTCCAACTCGCTGGCCAGGCCTGTCCAGGTGCAGCCCTGCTCGAAGTAATTGCACTTCACACCCAGGTGGTCCAATTCCCGTTGCATCTGCTTGTCCACGGTCACCTCGCTGCGCTCCAACACTTGACCGTCCACGGGACAGCGTCCTGATGACCTTAAAGAGGAAAGGGTTGTATATAGAAGTTTAAAAAGGCTCATATTCGGTCACAGACACTGGCAGTATGCGAATAGTGAATAGGATGGGCGGCTTCGAGCTTGCCGAAAGATCACTAGAACGTTAGACTGCAGTAGGTAGGCTAACTCATGAAATCTCAACAAAAATTCCGAAATGCGTGTACGTTTTGAAAACATTAATTAAAAAGTGTTGAAAAACCAATAATTTTATAACGTAATTATAGAATAATTTAGTTGCCCGCGGATGCCGGCTTTCGAACAAACTTCTTTCCGGCTGCATTTAAAAGCCCATTTCCGTAAAAAAGTGGCTACTTACGTAGCATGCACTTTTTTTCCATGATTTTCGATGCACTTAAAGATTCGATTATATTTCATGGAAAACATGCATAAAAATATTCACTCTTTTACTCATCCAGTAGGAAGTCACTTTTTCTTTCGATTTGATACTCGAAGAAAGGGTATTATTAGGTTTTTAATAAGGTTCTCATTGTGGGATTTTTTAATACCGTGAAATGGCCCTTCATAAAACGTCATGTCTCTGCATTTACCAACGTGGCTTGTAAAGCCAACAATGTGGCTGAACTACACTGACAGATTTTATGAACCTCATATAATATCCTCTTAATGCCGCAGGGAAGTGTATGTTTTCCGTACGCGGAAATTATACGGCTTGTAGTTTGGGAACCCTGAAAGCAATTGCAACAGCAGGCCGGGTTCAAAATTATTCGGAAATTTCAAAACTCTTATAAAACCAATTTATAACCTTCCTTCGAGTGTTAAATTAAGGGAATAGTTAATGTTTTACTGAACGAGCAAAATAATGAATACTTTACCGCATGTTTTCCATAAAATATGGTTGGATCTTTAAGGGCATCCAAAATCGATTAAAAATTGCATGCTAATTAAGTAGTCATTTTTTACAGAGTATGGTTTTCGCATGCAGCCGTAAAGATGTTCGTTCGAAAGCCGACGTCTTGCGTTAACTGAATTCTTATAAAATTATGCTGTTGGATGATTGGTTTTACAACCCTACTCAATTAATCTTTTTGAAACAGAAAAGCATTTCGGAATTTCGGCTGACATTTTATGCGTAAGCCCACTTAGTGTACCTTGAAAATTCATAGTTCCAGTCAAAGCTATAGTGTAAACGGTAGGTTTTACTGATTCACTGAGAGAAACCGTGTGACGAATAAATCTGAACTAAGATCTGAAGCATTTGGACAGACATCTGTAAAGTGATCGATCGGAAACGGACCAACGAGCGACAAAAATCAAAGCCACTCAGAAAATGGAAGGTAACAAAATTTGTAGAAAAGTAGAAAAAATGACTGGATAACGAAAAAGTTGACCAAAGGTGGTCGGAGATGACCAGCTGAGAACGTTTTTTTTCTAAAAAAATTCCAATGAAACATTGGTATTTACAGAGCACAGGAAAAGGTTCTGCTGCCATCAGGTTATGTCTAAGCTGTAAACTAGATGAGGGCCTGGCATCTAAGTCTAGACGGGGTTATAATCCATATAGTCTTCTAAAACTCCGCAGGAGACATGAAGAAGAAGAAGAAGAAGAAGAAGGAACAGGTCTGGTCGCCCGAATCGTCTCATTCTTCTCGAATTTTAATGTCTAGGAGCACTTTTGAAGATTTCTCTTAATGAATTATATTCATTATACAGCCGGACTCAGGCGGTGTTTAGCATATAAAAGGGTTGTTTATTAAGGATTTGAAAACCTCTGGTGAATTGACTTGTGTGACCTGGACGTCGGTCTAAGGCACCGATTCGGAGATACTTACGTTATCATAGCTAATCAGCCATAAGTGCGATAGGCCGTTACAGAAAATGATTTCTGTCAGGTGGTTTATACAAACGACAGATGTGATCTTACCGTATCCCTGTTGTCCGACACTGGATCAAACACCAACGAGCTGTTCGCATGTTAATAGGAGTTTTGACAGATTTTGAATAATTTATTTTGACCCATCTGTGAAAAACTCGGTGACCTCAGTGGAATTCGAACACACGATAGAAAGGGAAAGGTTTTACTACAGTCAACGGCCTAGCCACCTGAGCTACGAGGTCCCACTGGGAGCCGTGATTTTAATCACATTTTGGTAAAGCTGCCCACCTATCCTACTGTAACGTGTGAAGCCCACCAAATATGATTGCTCATACAGGATTTTCTAGGTAAGCAATCCTAAAGTTACTAGATGATTACCGGGTTTGCGTACTTAATAGGAATTCGTATGTACTAGAAGACTTCTAATCCTCAGCTGTTTCAGGCAGACCATGTCCACAGAGCTATTCTATAGATAACCGATGAGTAAGTGTAGCGAATGTAGTGCTGCGTTTGAAAAACAGCACTAGACACGAATGAAGGCGAAATTTCGAGTTCCAGGTGTATGCATATTTGAAGAAGAAGAAGAAGAAGAAGAAGAAGAAGAAGAAGAATCGAGCACCGGAACAATTCGTTTATTATCCTGAGCTTTCAGACTCGTACAGGAGTCCATCGTCAGAGGTAGTGGCAGAAACAGGACAAGCGGCAGTTATAAGGCACGAAGACCCAATCATCGACCGACGTCGCACGACTGGACGTGACTACGAAGGGCTCTGTACGCCGGCGCCAGATCGATAAATCGATTGACCGAGTTCTCATCCGAGGCCAAGGCTTCAATCAATTCTCGGCCTGTTTTGTTTCCGGCGTGGGCGACTTTTTTGGTGGCAGCGAAGTCAAACTCGTGACCCATTTCGTAGGTGTGGGCGGCCACTTGTGACAATGCGTCGCCTCGCCGCACAGCCAGCTTATGTTCATGTATGCGCGATCCGAGCATGCGTCCAGTCTGTCCTGTGTAATTACAAGGACAATTTTTACACGGAATGCGATACACTACTCCAGATTGCTCTTCAGGTTTTAAACGGTCTTTGATCTTCATGACCCTGTTGCGCATGGTGGCTTTGGGGCGGTGTGCGATTCCAACCCCTAGCTCCGCAGTACTGCGCTCGGTCGCTTCTGAAACACCCTTGATGTATGGCAGAGAATGCCATATCGTCGGTGGCGTTGATGTTTGAGTTCTCTGGTGGCGACCGCGTAGGCAGCGACTTATGAATGCCCTCGGATAGCCATTTTGCACAAACTGGTCGCGGAGATAACGGGCCTCACGCGCTCTGTCTTCCAGTTTGCTGCAATGAGTTTGGATCAGTTTGGAGAGCGTCTTCACAGAGCTTCTTTTGCGAGCCACCGGATGGTTGCTGTGAAAACTGAGCAGCTGTGTGGTGTTCGTTGCCTTCCTATAAACCGTCGTTTCAAGTTCACCGTTAAGGTTTCGTCTGACGAGCACATCCACGAAGGGCAACTGCTGCTCCTGTTCTTCTTCTCTCGTGAATTTTATGTACGGGAAGACTGCGTTGAGCAGGCAGTGAAAATGTTGCAGCATGTCCTTCTTTACGATGACGAACGTGTCGTCAACGTAACGTCACCAAAACACCGGTTCATGTTGGAGGAAGGCAATCTTTTCCGACTCCTGTAGGACCAGTTCTGCCACCAAGCCGGAGACCGGTGAGCCCATTGGGGTTCCCTTGATTTGTTCATAGGTCTCTCCCGCAAAAGTGAAGAACGTTTGTTGGCAGAATTCAAACAGCCTCATGAGGTGTTCAATTTTGAGGGCATTCTGAGTCTCATCGTACGCCTCTTCAAGTCTCTTGCTCAAGACTTCGCGGGCCACGTTTGGTGGGATAGACGTGAATAACGACGTCACATCGAAGGAGACCATGATTTCGTCCGATTGAATTCTCCGACCTCGGAGGTCTATGAGGAATTGAGAGGCTGATCGAACAGAGGTAGTCGAATTGCCTTGGAGGAACTTCAGTTTTGAGTACATCCACTTTGCCAAGTTGTAGGTGGGGCTGCCTTTGAGGGCAACGATTGGCCGAAGTGGGACATTTGCTTTATGGATTTTTGGCAGACCATAGAATCGGGCTAGAGCGGTGTCAGTTGCCCTCATTTGGTGCCATTCATTCTCCGTGATCACATTTTTATGTCGGTATTCTCTAAGCAGTTTACTCAGCCGATCTGTCACTGCTTTGGCTTGTGACTTCTGTGCTGGTCTGTAAAATTCTCTGTCATCAAGAAGGGCTTTAGCTTTTTCATTATAGTCTTCTCTATTCATCACGACGGTTGATCGTCCCTTCTCCAGGGTTAAATTTCCCACTCGGGATGTCCCCTGTTGAAAGACAATTTTGTGGGACGGGATTGTTCTTTCGGGAAGTCATACTGTCTAGAATTACATAGTTGTGCTAGTTTACGGAATGATACAAGATCTCATGGGTGACCTTCCTCTTGATGTTGTACATAGAACTAGTACGACCAACCACCTAGAGCCATTCTGAGATCGAAGAAGAGACGTGAGTTTGCCTGCAATCATTTGAGAAGCTTGATCCTCTAACACCGATATTGAACGGACTATATGGCGTGCGTAAATTGACGTTGGATAAAAGGGACTAGCTCATTTGATTTCGCTTTGCCCCCGGCACTAGAAGTACCAATCTAATTCCTTGAATCTAGATACTGAGTCCCCAATTTCAACCATCTGCCGTGCCAAACACCTTATCGCCTGAGTGCTTGCAGATATCATGGGTCCAAAAGCAGATAAAAGCTAGAGCTTGGGGGAACCAAACGACAAATGGATACTAGTCTACACAAGGACCAGTTGGAATAATACGTCCAGCCGCCCCACTATACCTCCGACCTTCAAGTGAACGACACTCCTGGTTGGAAACTGTTCGCATGCAAGGCGGTCTCATGCTGGACGTGTTTTGTACGTGTAAGTTCAAGTAATCGTCGAGCTAACCTTCCCAAGGTCTGCCAAACTTTGTGCCATTGCATATCCTCCTATCAGACTGAGACATATGTCGCCACACAGGAGTCACTGCTGTTGCAATCAAGCCAATCAGACGAGGAGCGAGCACGTGGAGAAGATGAAGTGAAACTAGATCAGAGATCAGATGAACCAACCCAAAGAGGAATCGATACTGCGTTTCCAGATGACCAATGTCGATCTGGTTCCCAAAACACTACCATTTTCTAAGTGCAGTCCTAAAGACCGTAACATGTGCTTATGTCCAGTGAGGCACAACGCCAAAGTTAGTCAGTAGTAGAAACTTCAGGATATTAAATTTTTTTCTGTCGCCATCTTATTCTCTTTTTCTCCCTGCGGAAGGAGGCACGTTGTCACTTGATTGGGCAGCATATGCAGGCATATTTGAGATAAACATGTTCCCTGGAAAAACGGTGATATCTATTCCATACCTTTTGAACGTTTATTACCCGACTGATCGGTAGACATGCAACAAACGCCACCGGTAGTTGGTGCGGTCCCAGATGTCTTTCTCAACATTATCACTCACATTCTTCATGCAAGGAAGGACTAGCCTGGTTGAAATTACAAAGACTCTTTCGTTTTTGGCCGTGTTGTTCAGCGCTTCGGTGGGTAAAAACCGTAGAAGCATCAATTTTGAAATAAAGTAACCTTAACAGGCAGGTTTGTTATCTTCGACAAACGAATATAGGGCGTGTGTCAGCAAAGGGTGTGGGAGTGTACATGAGATTAAATGAGGTAGGTGGTGGGTGTTGGGACTTTAGTAATCCAAAAGTAAGGCATTATTTTCAAACGACATGCATCCTGCCCAGTTAAATTCCCCAAGGTAGGAAACATCGTCGTCTAAAAGCCGCTTTTTTCACTAGACTTTGTCGCCTCATGCATTACCGCACACCGAATATTGCTAGAACACAGACCTACGACACCCCATGGACAGGTCTTTCTGCTCCAAACAAAAAGTTTCATGCACCAAATGCGGCCCAGTATATTATGGCCAACCAAGTAACTTTGCTCCAGTCTTGTTTATCAATACCAGCCAGCTGTGCGGAGGGGAGGCCATCTATCTTAAGTGGCCATGTAAACGCTGGATAAAGAGCACTCATTGTCATGGGAGAAAATCCGCAACGTTGACGCCTGCCAAGCCAACGATGGCGGCGGAAGCTTCTGGGCAATGAACCCAGACAAGGCACAAATCAGTAGGCATTTTGAATGAGATGCCGTATGCAGGATTTTCAAAACCACAAATTGGAACGGCGCAGTAAACTCCGGTTAGACCACTGGATAAAACAGATGTCTAATGCTGTAAATGTTAGTCAGCAAACGAGTCCTTTGTGAAGCAGGATTATCATGTCAATCTCTTTTGTATGCTATCCGCATGTCGGGCGACAGTTTGGGTGCTAATAAGTCCCTGCTAAATTTGGTTAAAGTGTGCAACCCAGTTACTAGATTGGCGTTTACCAGGTCGGCTAAAGCTTCCGCAAGCCTATTCGCACGCGCCCTTCAAACGATGACTCAGCTAGCAGACATCGGTCTGTCGTTGGTTTGCCAAGAGCAGCTAGGACAAATCGATATAATAATTAAAAGTCACTGTAGGTGGAGTTGCTCAGATATAAACCGTTTCCATCTTCCTCAACCAGTAGCGTTTGCTGATGTTTCGCTGGTCGTAGGGTACCAGTTAAACAGCTACGTATGTTCAGGCGCACATCTTCGGGCAGTGTAGAAGTTAGCAGACTAGAACAAAGACTGACCGGGAACTTTTTAACCGTAGCAGCAATATGACTGAATGCCATTTTAAGGTGCGAGACTCTTTTTGAAAGGAAAAGTCTCCACGACATGTTCCTCTCTTTAACAGGGCAGAAAAAAACTGTGATTACTCAGACCGATTGTGTAGTATTTGTGCAGATCCTTTGTGCCTCCGATCGAAGATGGTGTTCAAGGATATAGATAACCTACGAGGCTATGACCAAGCTCGAAACAGAGAATTTGCCAGACTCCTTGCTGCCCCGCCGATTTATCTTTATCTCATTTATACTTTAACGAACTCTACAAGTGACCCGATCATAACGTCTGATTTCAGACTAGTAAAAGTAGCGTTTCTGACTCACGCCATTAAGTCGGTAAAGCACTTGGAGCAGCAGTTGTGTCCACAGACGTGGAACTGTACAGGCCTTCGTAGGGTGTTCTCGCACACGCAACAAGCATACTTTTTACCAGGATTCGGTGTGTAGAGGATGGGCAGCTCAGCCTTGGCTGCCGGAGAGGATCCGCTTGGTTGATCCACGCCATTGGTTGCTGGGGACGTTGATGTTGAAGGCACCAACTTGGACGTCGAAACATCCTTCAACAGCTTCAGCATGAGGTCGGCTGATTTTGTTGGGGCGACTCTCGGTGTCCCGTCTGCACCGGCGTGACACGAGGAGATGAAAGACAGGTATACAGAATGAAATGAGGACTCAAGAAGAGACATTGCTGTGCGCATTTTCTTACTGATTCTCCATCTGTCTCTCTCTGCCTCTTAATTGACTTCTTTACAGTAAGTGCGCTAACTCATGAAATGTCAGCCGAAATCCGAAATGCATTTTCGTTTCGAAAATATTGATTAAGTAGGGATGTAAAACTAATCACCGTGCAGCAAACGTGCATAACAATTCAGTTGCCTTGGGATGCCGGCTTTCGAACTATTTTCTTTCCGGCTATGTTCCTAAACAATGCCCTGTAAAAAGTGTTTACTTAAGTAGAATACATTTTATTCTAATTGATTTTCAATGCCCTTAAAAAATTCATTATATTATGTCGAAAACATACATAAAAATATTCATTCTTTTATTCATTTAGTATGAAATCACTTTTTCTTCCGATTTTATACTCGAAGGGAGGATATAACTCGGATTTCAAAATCCTTTCCATTTCCCGAATAATTATGAACGCTGACCTGACGTTACAATTGAATTCAGGGTTTCCAACTTATAAACCGTTTAACTTTGCGTACGGAAAACCATACATTTCTCTACGGTATTAAAGGGAAACAAAATAGGGTTCATAAAATTTAGTAGTAGATTTAAACCATATTGTTAACTGTACAAGTCACGTTACTAAATGCAGGGGCATCGCGTTTTCTTAACGGCCATTTCATGGGATTGAAAAATCTGGCAATTAGAAACTTTCTAAAAACCGAATTATCCACTTACTTCGAGCATAAAATTGTAGGAAGACGTAATTTTCTACGGAATGAGTGTATGAATTGATATTTTAATGCATGCTTTCTGTGAAATATAATTGAATTTTTAAGGGCCTCGAAAATCAATGGGAAAAATGTAAGCAACTTAAGTAGCCACTTTTTACGGGAAATTGTTTTTGCACGTAGCCGAAAATAATTTCGTTTAAAAGCCGGCATTCCATGGCAGTCGAATCACTATGCAATTATGCTGCATGGTGATAAGGTTTATAACCCTACTTAATTAGTCTTTTCGAAATTAAAACGCATTTGGAGATTTCAGTTGACCCTTCATGAATTAGCACACTTACTGTAGGTGCAGGGGAGGATGGCACGTCAGATGATGTCAACATATGATTTCGTCCTTAACTAGTAACGACATAAGCAGCCGTAGGGTCAACCAATCGTATTTTGGGTGATCGAAAATAGGAAAGTGGCTTAACTCCCAATCAATTTGCGTTTGTAATTTTGGCCAGCACATAGATGCATTGGGCAAACTCGGCGTGGGATAAGTGATGGTTCCGCCGTCATAGACAGGGCGAAGAAATTATTTTTCGGCATCCATGGACGTGGCGTACATTATTTTAATAGGAATAGTTGTTGTCGGCATTTTTACAGATACCGCCTCCTTGAAGTTTTGGATACTTCCGACAGCAAATATTCAGATTTGCCCGAACGTTTTTTGCGATTTTATATCCACCTGTTGTGTTATGAAAGTCTGGATAATAAACATATATGCGTTTACAGAAGATATGCATTCTCACAAAGTGTTGACTGAAATTCTGCAATGCATAAAAGGGAATACTTGAGTGCGGTTGTAATATCAGTTATCGCGCAGCAAAATCTCGAGATATTGCAGTCATACTGGGACGCCGGCTTTTGAATGAGCTTTTTTCGAACTGCTTGCAAAATTCCCCCTCGTTAAAAATAACAAATACCTTGATAGTGTTATTTCTTCACATTGATTTTTGACGCTCTCATAAATTCAAGTATATTTTAAAGAAAGCATGCGCAAGACTTCGCTCTTTTAATCCTTTGACATCAAATTACATTTTTTTCAAATTTTATACTGAAGAAGGGTATGGTTTGGTTTTGAAAAAAATCCGAAAGACCCTAATAATCTTGAACCTGCAGATGTACTCACGCTTAAGTTTTCAAAAACACATCCTGCATACTTTTCATTTAAGAAAAACTATGCAATTCCTCCCATTATTGGAAAAAAATCATTTAGCGTATATACAGTTTTTTTATGGATTTGAACCGCGTTTTTACTTTAAAAAACATTTATGAGCTTACACTTACGATACTGTATGAATGAACATTTCATGGTCTTCAAAAATCTTATTATCACCAGCTTTATCTAGGCTGAAAGATCCACTTTCTTCTAGTAGACAATTTGAAGAAGACGTAAGTTGGTATCGAATGAGTGCGATAAAGGTTATGTTTGTTTTTGTACAAAATATATCTTAGTCTATAATATTATCGAAGACCGATGAGAAAGTTGTCACTTTTTGTCCGGTGCAATTTTGCAGGCGCCCCGAAAGGTACTAATTCGGAAGCTGGATATCCTTGCTGGATTGAAATATCCTGGAGATGTGCTGTAGAAGAATCAGTGTAACAGGTCCATCCAAGAAACACTTTGGAATTGTAGGCAAATTTCATTATTGTTACTGGAATTTCATGAGATATACCAGAGAGACATTCGCTGGAAAAGCCCTTCCCTCTGTGCCTAGAGCTCGCGCAGACCGACGTACAGCGACCACTGATGGAGAGAGGGATGGCCCTGTGTGGCTTTTCGGCCTTCGTCAGTCAGCCATGTCCAGCCATAGGTTAACATAGGCCTGGATTTGAATCCCGAAGCTTTCCTCATTGAATGTTTAAACGTCCACATTTCTACCACTGGACCGGGCGCCCGTTGTCTTATTTATTTCGATAAAGAACGTGGAAAATTGACGTAGAACACGAGCTGTACTACGAATTCCGGACCGATATAATGAAAAGGGGGTTCTTTGGAAAGAAGGCAAGTTTTACTTGCGAATTTTAAAGTTGACGGCAGCGAATCGTTGTCAGACTAAAGGGACAAAGCAGCGAATGAGATGCCCAACTAAATTACTTTGGCGTGAAAGGAATGGACACAGGGGAGCCGCAACCGCAGCCCACACCGTTCACTCACGATCCGCTTGTTCGTATGTACCTAGTGGGAAAATCTCACTCTTTCCCAGGTTATTTCAACTGACGGGTGAAACTTGATTTTTCTCAGAAGAGGCTACCCGTTTCTTGATGTCCTCATACAGAGAACGCCAGACGGAGCATTTCACACTTCAGTTTACCGCAAGGAAAACTACGCAGTACGAGGGCAATCACCCGATCTCTCACAAACGGAGTGCCGTCAACAGCCTCCTCAACCGAGCAATAACTCACTGCTCTGACAACGAAACCTGTCAAACAAGACTGAATTATTTGTTTAAATTGTGTTCCCAGAATGTGCATTTTAGATATTTTGTACACCGATGCATGAGATGACAGGAGTTAAAAGAAAAAGACAAGAAACCAGATCGTTCCGATCAGACGTCCAAACTAAAAAAACTAACAAACACTTCCGTACATTGAGAGTGTGACCAAACTGGTTGACGGACGTTTGAGGAAGAACCAAATTTACGTGACTACAAGCCGACGACTGCACTTCGTAACCAGCTGGAACATCCTAAGGACAGGGTTGGCTATTTCGCTAAAAAGGAAGTCGTCTATAAGGTACTATGCAACACCTGCGATTCGACTTACTGTGTCAAACTGAAAAATCGGTCTCTACACGAATACACGAAAATCAACTGGACGTAAAAAGGCGAGACCACTTGTCCCAAGTTGGTGTGCATACGCTGGAAACTGGACACAAATGCGCCTGGGACAAGACTCGCATTGTACGTGTCTGCTTATCCAAGAAAGGTCGCGAATTTTTAGAGACCATTCATTTTGATAACTCCTACATTATTTGAACACGTACAATTGGCTGCTGTGTACAACAACCCCAAACAAAAGTGGAAAAGGCGTCAGCCAATCAGAACATTACGCCAGCAGGAGTAACAGAGCAAAATCGATATTTAGGCATTTGGCACAATTACTTCAGGGCTGAGAAAGACCTGGGGAACCCAAGTGTGAAATGTACAATTAAATTTGTTTATATTTCCCAAAGAACTCTTTTCTTCCGAATAAATATACACATATGTCATGAGAGATGGACGCTAACCGAGCAGGTTGCGGAACGTTCTCGTTCCATTGTGGCCTGAGGCTCAAATTAGAGCCCTCGCAGGCACTCGCACAGTGACTAGTAGTAAAAGTAAATGGCATGGTACCGACAAAGACAAGGAAGTCGGAATGGCCCTTTCTGGCTTATAAGCCGTCATCAGCCAGTCTTACCCAATCCCAAATGTGAACCGGGGATCTTTGGTCATGGAGTTTAAAACTTTACCATTGAGCCACGGGCCCGTCGTCCTGTCGGTTGTGATTGGAAATATCAATTACGACAGATGGACGCTCACCGATCATGTCATTTACTTCTGCTACTAGTCGCTATGGGACGGCCTACGAGCGTTCTAGTACGAACCCAAAAGCACAACGGAAAAATCACATTCCGCTGCTGATCTCTTCACGCAGTGCGTGGTAAGCGATTGGCAGATCGACTTAAAGGAGAGCCCTATCGATCGAAATACTGATCTGCCAATCTCTTATTAAGCACAGCGTGAACAAATCGACAGCGCAGCTGGAGGTCGTCCCGACATCCCGGGCGTGCCTTGAATTTATGACATACCGGCATTTCACTATTTCCTGACTCACTGGGCGGACCAAACTCAAAATCCACTACGCCTCTTGTTGGGATTCAGGACAGACTCGATATGCGCAGACGAAACTGATTTCAGTCTACTGTGCAATTCTTATCTTCTGCATGGCAAGCTTAAGAAACAAGCCAGAAAACCTGCCGTTTTTGGAGACAAAACGTGGACCTCAGCATTCATTGTGCTGATAAGCTAATTACAACCCGTTTGAACTACGCACTATTGCAGGACTTCATACGCTCGCTGTAGCTTAAGTGCATGTTTTTTGCATAATTTAAGTGCGTTAAGAGGAATAGAAGTGTCAGGAGATATTTTCGCATTATCATCTTCGATGCATCACGTGGAAAAATCAGACTGATTAGCAAACCTGTAGATGAAAAATCAATGTTGAATGTGCTTACGCCTTGTTGCCACTCTAAAAAGCTGTGAGTTTAGATTAAACAGAGTCATCAACTGCAGATGGCAACGGCTATGCAGGACTCACCGTCTCGCTCTTTCTCATCGCCTGCAGGGGTTTCACCGCCGCCCATTTGCTCGTCAGTTCACGGGCCAAATGCCTGAAAGACGACTGACAGCCCGTTTAAATGCGATGGTCGTTTAGCTAGGTGGACAAAACGGGCGTCCCATTGTTCACGGTCACCAAGGCGACCGGCCATTTACGGACGTTTCCTTCATGTAAAGAGTTGTCATACAGACTTCGGAATGTGTATGCCAGATGTACGCCTGACGTAAGCAAGGTGCGATGGCACAATTGTTAAGACATAAAAGAGGGGAATGCAAGGGAACTGCTGCATTATATATATATATGTATATATGAATAATCATGGCGGCAGGGTTTACTTGCGGGCCACGGCTGCAAAGGAAGTAAAGGATAAAGGAGAATCAGTAGGGGCAGTAACAGTGCTAGATGAAGTGGAAGCAAAAACAGTGGTAAACGTGTGAGTAGTTGTTGTAGTAGAAGAAGTAGCGGTTATGATGATATCAGCAGAAGCATTCGTAGTAACAATGAAAAGTAGTGAAAGAAGGAACAGCAGATGCAAATCAGTAGTAGCATTGAGAGTAGCAGTGCGGGTAATAGTAAGAGGTCGGCTTGACGGAAATGATAACAGTAAGCAGCAGCAGTGAAAATAGTAGCACTACCTTTCGTAGAAACAGTAGCAGCAACAGCAGCGACAGCACGTTAATATTCGCAACAGTGGCATTAATAGTAATTGTGACAGAGGCAAGAGTAACATTAATAACAACCAGCGACATGAAGGAATTTGGCTAGCTCATCGGGCCATATAAACCATCGGAAGCGAACGCTATTCCCCGTTCCCGCTGTTCTTGATGATGATGATGATGATGATGATGATGATGATGATGATGATGATGATGATGATGATGATGATGATGATGATGATGATGATGATGATGATGATGATGATGATGATGATGATGATGATGATGATGATGATGATGATGATGATGATGATGACGATGATGATGATACCGGTGGTCTTGGTGGTGCGGTGGGAGTAGTAGTAGCAGTAGTACTAGTAGTAGCAGTAGTAGTAGTAGTAGTTGTTGTTGTAGTAATGTCTGTGGAGGCGAAAAGCCACGAATTATGAATAAAACAATCCGAACTGCTGTTGGGGACCTTGTTATACTCAAAATCCCCAAAACCCAATGAAAATGTCCATCAACAGTGTTAAGATTCACTGAAACTGGCGCACTGGACTGTCAGTGCTATACGAGAAGCTGCCACTCTTCTGGCCGGAGCCATCAGAAGGTGTGGTATTGTCACAAGTCGCATACTTCGCCGTCTGCCAATCGGACAGTGTGTGGATTTCCAGCATTTACTACCGAGAACACTTGCTGAACAAGGTACCGATAAAGACAGGGGAGACTGGAATAACCACTTCTAGCCTTTTAGCCGTCATCAGCCGGCTATTACCAACCCCAGGGTTTCGCTGCCCCTAAGGGTTGAACTTACATTCGGTTGTCAGAAGTCCAGCGCCCTTTGTCTTGTCGGTTGAGACTTAGAATGTTGGAATTGCATTCAGTGGTTTCGGCTTTTGTATTTGTCGCTAGGTGGCTGTCTCCGTTGACTCTAGACTGAGTTCTGAGATACAACTGGACGATCATATTCCGTAACCCAGTCGGTGATGATGGCCGGATCAACTTGACTTTGTTGCCACTACTCCCAGCACTTATAAATGGTGGCCCTGCGACCGGCTGCGAAGACTCTACTACAATTCGCGAAAGAGGTACGATCGCTGAAACAAGAGCCTTATTAGTCTGGTGTTTCGGATTCTAACTCGAATCCATCTTCGGAGGCCGAGTCAGATGAGCGTAGCGGATTGCCCAGGCGTTGCAGTATTTATAGGATGTAGTTGCTAGACCGCCTCATTTCTATCACAGTTGGTAACTCCCGAGTGCATCACGGCTCGACTGCCCAGATTTTCAAATATGTACTGCGCCTGTGTGCCAGTCGAGATTCTCTTCCCCCACGCTCATCGCATGCAGTCGGGAAACTGACTGCCAGACTCTTGGGCCGTTTGGCTCGCGGACACTGAAGCCATAAATAGTGGCCATCCGCACGCTCTCCCTGCGGCCACCTTCCTTGCTTATGCAAAGTTTCAGCACTGGATATGAAGCAGGGAAGTCGTTGCGCCTTTTGATTGATTGTGGACCGGAAAACCGTGATTTGAGCAGTTCATGACTCGCACATTTGTCGCCTATAGGAAGAATGTCTGTTGCTTCAAACTTGAATGTGTGGTTGGGTCCCGTCGACGGGAGAGCTGGCGTTGTTCCTTCGCATTGCTGTCGCGTGTTCGGTCATCCGCGTCCGGAGCAGTCTTCTGGTTTCTTCGTCATGGTTACTTTGCACACAACTCCAGACGTCCCCTGCCTTGGCAGTGGGTTTTTCGCTTTCATGATCTGGCGCGTTATGGTCGACTCTGGTCTGTGTGCAATCCTAATTCCAGAGGGTTAAGAAAGGCGGCTGAGGGCCTCGAAGACATCCTTCCCGTACTGGAGGGCTCGCCAAAATCTGGGGTCGGCTGGATTTTGTCTCTCGTCTCCTTTGCGCAGGGGCTAGCTGACAAAATCGCGGGGATAGCCATTTGGTCTAAATACTCATCGAAGGTATTGTGATTCGACGACATCCACCGTTACTCCATAGCACGGTAACAAAGGGCATGACAATTTTCGCAAATGACGGCGGACTTGCGTGGCATCCATCGACTCCGCTCCTTACCCACTTAGGTCCGGTGTCATGACAGGACGCTTTACGAGGCAGTATGCACGAACGCGCGGGGAGACGGGTTACCCGTTAGCCTAGCTGCCGGCTACCCGTATAGCGGAGAGGCCTTCAGCGATATTTAACTGCGAAATAAACAGACTCTCGGGTATAACGAGTAAGCAGCCGCGGATTCGTGGCGTCAGTGATACCAGGGCGCGGAGGGCTGAGATCTGGCACGCCGACAGCCTTATAAAATGTCCCAAAGCCCAATCACGAGACTGCTGCCATCTGGCTAGGCTATTGAGGCAAAACGCTAGAGGAGACAACCTCGAAGCAATCCAAGCGGCCGTTGGGGAAACGCTTGTACTCAAATTCCCCAAACGGCCTCATGAAGAACCGGTGCGTCCCTCAACTCTGGTCAAGTGGTGTGGGCAAACATTGTGCTAGCTGGATTATTCAACCGGCAACAGATTCCTGGCAGTGGATGCTGGAATATGCAAACGTTTCTGGACCCTGGTACCCAAAGTCTGACGGCGCACAGTCTTCATCAGTACAACGTGGATGTCCGTTGCCGGTCTAAAGTCCGAATCCTTAACTCATTGGCTTGGAAAATAAAGGTCTCGAGAGTCAATTCCCACATCACGGCCCACGCAACTCTTCCGGTAGACAGAGTGTAGTTATCGGCCTCTCAGAAGCAAACCGTGCACTACCCGTATGGGAACCAGTCAATGACTGGATAGCTTACGTGCGACTTAAGGGTCATTTTATGAAAATCTTTGTCATCTCTGTGTCTGCACCAATTTCAACTACAGAACAGCGCGATAAGGAAACCTTCTAACTATAGCTGCGGAAGCTAGTTGAAAGACTCCTTAGCCGTGATCTGCCAGATGTTGCCGCAGACTAAAGTGGTCGGACTGGGTCCAACGACTCTTTAATCACTCATCTTATTGCCCATTTACGCCTTGGCTTTCGATTCAAAAATGATGAGAGCACGCTGAATATTCTTGATCTGAAACGATTTTCTGTCGCCAGCGCATGCTTCCAGCATCACCACAAGCGTCTGTTGACTTAGTGGTCAAAAGACGGCCATACGACCAATCAGATTGACCAAATCGCAGTTGGTCCAAGGTCCCTTAGCTGGGTTCACGGTGGCAGATCGAAGTGTATCGCCAAAACTGGTAGAACCCATGGGTTCGACCATGTTCTACTCCCCACAGTTCATCTCTCATCAGCACCTCGATGCCGCAAAACTTCTACAACCCAGCACCCCAAGGCCCTGAGCACAGAAACCTGGTCTTGATTTTACGACCCCAGCCGATAGGGGAAAACAGTGGTCAATGGTCATCACCGAATTCATCAGCATATGGGGCAGCTGAGAAAATCCTAAGATACCTCCAGTGACGCCGCAGTGACTGGATCGGGGGACGGACCCTCCAAATGTTGACCCGACGGCTCGAGCAAGGTCACGCGACGACGCTTTCTCCCGCCGACTCTCGAAAATGACAGCAAAGTCGCTAGGGATGACCGGGAGAACTGTTGGGCTGCAACAGCGAACTCCGCAGTGAAGACCCTAAAAAGTCGGTGGCACTCGAAAACTCCACCGAATTCTTCGTCAAGTTATCCGTAAGCCCTTGGCACTTAATGGCTCTGTTCGCGATTTGAATGGCGGCTTTATTTTTGACAACTCGGTCAAGGTCGATTGCTGGAGTGACCACTTCGATCACCTTTCTAGGTTCGATGACTAACCCACCACACCCTCTAAGTCGCCCGCAATGGGGTTTTATCCGTCTCCAGCCTCTGCGATGTTGTGCGACCATCTACTGAGAGAGAAACTGCCGTAGAAGTATAGAGACTGCTCAGCGACAATGCAGCCTTGAAGGAAGGTATTCCAGCTGAAATTTACAAGTCGTGTCGACACTCTAGCGTCCCCATTTTTCATGAGGGGACTAAGCAAGCTTGGTGATTAGATCACTCCTAATGACTGGGACCCGAGGATCCTTGTGCCTCAGAAAAATACCGCAACACAGGCGTCGGCAACGCTGCTGTGGTCCTCGCTATTGTTCTTCTCAGGCGACTACAGGCCGTATGTGATGTTAGGACGGAGAGAGAGAGAGAGAGAGAGAGGGAGAGAGAGAGAGAGAGAGAGAGA